AAGCCAGCAATGGCAAATCCTATATTTCATTTCTGACAGGCGCTCTTTAAAATGTAAAATGAAATGCTATGTTGTTACAATAGGTGCCCATACATTCTGCAGAAATATATTTTACATTATTTTTGTAACATTGACCTGAAATTACTTTTTCACACAACATTCACATTGTAGGATTGACGACTGATTCCGGCCAGTGGCAAAAAGAAAAAAAAAAATCAAATCAAAATAAGCAGGATGGAATTTATTTCTTGAACGAGCACAATTCCATCAGTGAATTAAGTTAATTTCGAAGAACATTCAGCAAGTCTTTGATGGCATTATCGAATGTTGAGATTTTAGAGTTAACCATGGAAAAAGGCACTAGAAATATTGTTCTCACAAAAGTGGTGTCTTTCATTAACTTTTCATTTTTTAAACTTTTAACTTCATTGCCATGAAAAGGGGGCTGATAAACACCCCCCACTCCCCCTTATGTGATAGCCGAGTGCAGGTGACAGGTCCTCTTAAGGAGACATCAGGGATTTTTCATATTAACGTTTGTAACAAAAATCTACCAGTGTATGGCCAGCTTGGGTTATTACAGCAGACATCACTGACAGCAACTAACACTATTCTACAATCCGGGAGAGGCCAGCAAGCTACAACAATGTAAATCAGCATAACTATACAGAAGTAGTGTCTATATCAGGATCTCAGGGACAGGTGATAGCAAGCATGGGTGCCTACACAGCAGCCAATGTGGACACCTGCAGGACAGCCAGCGTGGGCACCTAAAGGGCAGCCAACATGGGCGTCTACAGGCAGTGGTGTCCCTAGACTTTTTCCAACCGGGGGGGTGGAGGAGGAGGTGTTGGAAACGTACAGTGATGCTGCCCTCAGGGGGGTGGGATGGGTTTGTGCACGACAATGATGATGCCAGGTATGCACAGGGGACGCTCTGCCCAGCTGGGTAGAACACCGACCAAAGCATCCCATGTTGCTTAAAGCTGGGATGGTAGATGTGTATGGCCCTTGCACATCCTCCCACCTGACTATTAGCAACTTGGGATGCTCTGGCCAGAAAGGGGGTGGTCATTTTGCAGCAGAGCAGCCACTATACAACAAATATGCCACTCTGCCTGAGGCTCCCCATGATCCAAAGAGATGCCACTTGAGGCAACAGCCTAACGCTGTCTCATTAAAGGAATGGCCCTGTCTACACGACAGCCACCCTGGGCGCCTACACGACAGCCACCCTGGGCGCCTACACGACAGCCACCCTGGGCGCCTACACTTCCCCCTACTTTTGATTATTTTACATTGGACGCAATGGATATCTTATAAGTCTTTACAGGCAAACCTGAACACGCCAGGTAACAAATGCCACAAAAGATAACAATTTGACTGCCCCACCTAACAAAATCAAGGTTGTCCCTTCAGGTGAAGATAAATATAATGCAATAGATTAATTTCACCATCCCGTTATTTTAACGATGACTTATATTTATATTTTTACATAATACAATCAAGTATTTAGGTAAGGCCAGGAAAGCAGCACATGCCATCATCACCACGATGCAGTTATACGTCAGGAATGTGAAACGTGGGGTGAGGAAAGTTAAGTCACAGACATTGAGGAAGAAGCTCTGAATCAGTCAGTGCCCCGGGCAGAGTGCTTATCTGTTCCTGGCACACACATTGTACACAGGATTGTACTAGAACAGGCAGGACACTTCCACACACAACATAACAGACTATAAATATTTATAATATTATGATAAACGTTATATATTGTATATACAAAACAGCCACTACAAAATTAGGAAACTGCACCAACTCACAATATTACTATATAGAGGTATGGACGGAAAGGGAAAATCTGCAAGAACAGTACAAAAATACAATAAACTATCAACTATCAAACAATACAAGAATAAAAAACTGGACAGCTGAGATTTAAAACACCAACCCACTACAAAGCTGGCATTTCACTATTAAGTGGCTGCTGGTGTGCCGAGTCAACTGCAGCTCTCCCAAGCACTGAAGAGGTAGGATGTCAGCTTTGCCCATTACAGGAGGACTCAGTCTCCTTGCCCTGGAGGTCAGCTTAGACGTGCCCCCTTGCCTTGGAGGACAACCTAGACGTGCCCCCTTGCCTTGGAGGACAACCTAGACGTGCCCCCTTGCCTTGAAGGACAACCTAGACGTGCTCCCTTGCCTTGGAGGACAACCTAGACGTGCTCCCTTGCCTTGGAGGACAACCTAGACGTGCTCCCTTGCCTTGGAGGACAACCTAGACGTGCTCCCTTGCCTTGGAGGACAACCTAGACGTGCTCCCTTGCCTTGGAGGACAACCTAGACGTGCTCCCTTGCCTTGGAGGACAACCTAGACGTGCTCCCTTGCCTTGGAGGACAACCTAGACGTGCTCCCTTGCCTTGGAGGACAACCTAGACGTGCTCCCTTGCCTTGGAGGACAACCTAGACGTGCTCCCTTGCCTTGGAGGACAACCTAGACGTGCTCCCTTGCCTTGGAGGACAACCTAGACGTGCTCCCTTGCCTTGGAGGACAACCTAGACGTGCTCCCTTGCCTTGGAGGACAACCTAGACGTGCTCCCTTGCCTTGGAGGACAACCTAGACGTGCTCCCTTGCCTTGGAGGACAACCTAGACGTGCTCCCTTGCCTTGGAGGACAACCTAGACGTGCTCCCTTGCCTTGGAGGACAACCTAGACGTGCTCCCTTGCCTTGGAGGACAACCTAGACGTGCTCCCTTGCCTTGGAGGACAACGCAGACGTGCCCCCTTGCCTTGGAGGACAACGCAGACGTGCCCCCTTGCCTTGGAGGACAACGCAGACGTGCCCCCTTGCCTTGGAGGACAACGCAGACGTGCCCCCAAACACTGGAGGCCAACGCAGACGTGCCCCCACATATTGGAGGACAGCGCAGACGTGCCCCCACACATTGGAGGACAGCGCAGATGTGCCCCCACACATTGGAGGACAATGTAGACATGACCCCTTTCCTTGGAGGTCAGCATAGACACAGCTTGAGGAAACCCTAGCAGCTTCAGGAGGAACCTTAAAGTGACATTAAACCCTCAGATTTTTTAACATAAACCAATCCTGTAATGTGCGCCTTACTGTAATCCATGGTAGTTTCCCTTCTCTTTGCTGCTCTTCCTTTTAAATCCTCATGTCTTCTCATGCTTGGGGAGAACTTCCCTTAGCAGCTGAGTGCCTCTTCCTGTAGTGCTGGCTCAGGTTGCAAGCCTATACACAGACACCATGTATCCATTCTAGAGAAAAGGCAGTCTGCTGCAAAACAGAAGTTCTGCCCAGCATGAGAAGAGATACAGATTTAAAAGGAAGAGCAGCAAAGAGCAGGGAAACAACCATGGATTACAGTAAGGCACACATTACAGTATTGTTTTATGTTAACAAATCTGAGGGTTTAATGTCACTTTAAGGTTCCATGGAACTCTGTTTGAGAAAGACTGGTTTACATCATGAAGAATACAACAACAGGAAGGAGACTGAGCTGGTGGGCAAAGAGGGGGGAGTCCAAGAACTTCAACAAAAATTTTGCTGTCTCTGAGAGACACACAAAGCCGTTGGGTGGTTTGAGCCACCAGCATCATAACTACTATGTAAACTGTGGATGGATTGACCGCTGAAAGGAAGACAAAATGATAGCTGTATGTTCAGCAGGATTAGGTGTCAATTGGTGTCTATGGGGGCTCCTGAATGATACATTCTGGGGACAAACTTAGAAAACCCAGCCAATCAGAACACCTTACCCTCAGATAAGCCATCCCTAGGAGATGCTCATCCCTCACCCCACCTTATTGCCCTAAATGTATATCGCCCGCGAGACTGGGACTCTATTGTTTAGGGTAGAAGCTGGCCAAATCGGGTCAGATTGTGCCCACATATTCGTCTGTTAACTATGAACAACATGAGGGTCACCATACATGTTACAATATGACTGTACAATCTATATCCAGTCAGACAGACCCTTTACTAGATAGTTATTGGCAGATCTAAAAGGAAGGAGTACAATCTGATTGTCACATGCATTTGAAGCTTTAAAGTTCCAACAGATTTTACATAGCAAGTGCCTGTTAAGTGCGAGCCATATGCTGAACCATCGCCACACATGCAAGATCGAACAAAGAGAAAACGGGGAGCTCTGCGATCGCCGGCTATCTCTGGAGGATCAACCATTACCAAACTCTGAAGAATATCCATTACAGCCATTCCATTTCAAGGAAAGCCAACACATATTCCAACATTTACAATCTGACCCACACAAAAAAAAGGGATTCCCTTATATGCGCAGGCACCTCATCAGTCCATGGCGAAATGTATTATTGCCCAATCAGATCTCACCATGTTGTTGTGGTTTTGCGTCCGCTTTATCCGCTGCATTGAAGTACAACTAGCACGTCCAATTAGCCAGCTAAATATTTTAACAGCGTACCGCTATTTAATATTAATACCCAAACACAGGCAGATCGCATTACGCAGCATGTTAACCCCAGCCGCGACAATTCATAACGATTTCAAGGCACACTATGGCGAGGGAGCGCGTCACAGCGCGTTAACGCAGAAGACAGCAGATCACTCAGTTATAAAATAATTGTAGAATAAAAACAATTTGCAACTCAAAATGCTGACTTTTAATAAAGAGCCCCAACAAGAGAAGCTCAATCACAACTCTATAAGTGATCCCAAAAACAGCTACAAAGTAACACTGTAGACAGCACAGTGCAGAACAACTTCCTCTACATGAGACTTTCATCGCCTCTTCTTCCTTCAGATGATCAGTAATAACAAATACATAGTCTTGCAGCTGAGCCATAAACAGCAGCCTGTGACTGTCTGGGACATCTCAGTGTCAGTGACAGACTGAAATATGACACTGTCAGGAGCTCATCGCACAACGCCAATAGTGCACTAGAGTCACTAGCATTGCCCCCCCTCACCCAGAGCGGCTGGCACAAGGGCTCCCCATACTCACTAGACCCCGGTGCAGACAATCAGATCGCTCCTAGTACCGGCAGACCACAGACGGACTTGTTGTAGCCGCGCTCATCTCTCGCACACTGCTCGCACCTGCGAGTCTCCGCTGTCAGATGTCAGCGAGTCCGGCGCCTCTGCTGGCCGAACAGGGTAATTGCAGCCAATGGGTGTCGCACGGCATTCTGGGTAATGCAGTCTTGCAGCCAGAAGAGCACGTGCGTGTATGTGTGTGTCTTGTATTGGAAAGGTATGCAGTCTGTGTGTGTCACAGGCTGAATGATTTCATCCTGTTTCCAGAGAACAATGTGTTACATTCTGTACTTCCTTTAGGACTCGGATTGACACATTTTCTTTCAGCGAAACCCAAACACTCTAGCGATGCTAGAAATTTTTTGGGGAGAGAATGAGACGGGGCTTATTCCTATGTAAATAGCGCCACCCATTCATATGTAAATATCACAGTTTAGACTATTTTCAGTGGGGGACCAGTAGCCCTTATCCTTATTTTGGTTGCCCCTGTCTGCCTGACATCATGTGTCTGGGTCTCAGCTGCTATGAAACAGCATTCAAAACTTGGACTGTCCGGGTGAATCCTGGACAGGTGGCAACCCTATTTAAGACCCATTCACACCATATGCCTTGGGCAGGGGCGTAACTAGAAATCACAGGGCCCCTCCTGTGACAGCGTTGTCTCCGCCCCCACTGTGATAGGCAGCCGAGCGGTGTGGGAGGAGAGACACCGGCCGCTCACAGCGCTCTTGTCCCGCAGTGCTCGGCCGGCTGTCACTTTCTCTCCTCCCCGCTGGGACACAAAGCAGCAACCAGCGGGGAGGAAAGAAATCACGGATGCGCCGATGTATCGGCAGGAAAATGGCACTTTCGGCAATTAGCCAAAGTTCAATTTTTGGCCGATATGTTTCGGCGGCCGATATATCGGTGCATCCCTACTACAAATCTTTCGGGCCCTTTTGCACTAGCCAGTCTGCTAAACCACTGCGTTTTAGTGGGCGGACATTATTTACATTTTTGTAACTTTATGTGTAGTGTACAATGTGTATACTCCATTCAGGTCCCCACACAGCAGCATGGTGTGCTCCTCTACTGTCTGGTGACCTGCGGTGGCATCCAGTGCACTGCAATGAAATGCAGCATGTTTGCATTTTCATGCATAACACCTGCTTTGTGGTGCCAATGGAACACATAGAATTCAATTGTTTTCTATGTGTTCTTGCTGTGACCTGTATTGAACCAATGCGGTACAATGTAGGTCACCGCTACATGTGTGAACGTGCTCTAAGCCCCCCTTCACACCTGAGCGTTTCGTCGCCCATATCCTGAAGTGTGACAACGCTCAACAACAAAAATTATATTTAATAGATATATAGATACAGCCATCCATTTGTCAGCGCTTCACCCACCATACCTAAAGGACCAAACGGTCAAGAGTCAGATGGGTTCACATACTTCCATTATATTCATTGGTGCCCGCTCACACCTAAGCGTTGGGTCGCACAAAAGAAGTACATGAGCTTTTTCCAGGAAAAATCGCCCATTTTTGTCTTCATAGACTTCAATAGGAACACCTGAAAAATGACAGAAAATCTAACTTTTACTTTTTAGTGCGATTTTGCATCTAACAACTGTCTCCTTCTCCTAGCAACTAGCTTTCCATTGGCTAACACAAAAACGCTCAAGCCTGAAACACACGCAGAAAAATGCGCAAAAGAAAATGCAAAAGAAAATGCTTCAAAGTCACTTAAAACGCTCATGCTCAAGTGTGAATGGGGGCTAATACCTTGAGCGGCAGTGCATATAAAGGTAGTAAAATCTGTCACAGGCGATAAACATGACATAATATGTAGCCATTAAATGTAATATATTAACATTGTCTGCTTCATATACCACGCCATAGGGCAAAGTGCGCATTTTATAGGAAAGAAACAGAATCCGCCTTTAGCTAATATGAGTACAGTAAACTGAAATCTGATTTGTTGCCCTGTATTTATCATGCTTAACATTTTTTATTATACAGGCTTTATATAGCACCAACAGTTTGCGCAGCGCTTTACAATATAAGCAAGACATTACAATACCATTCAAGACAAGATGGTAAGGAGGGACCTGCCCATGAAGGCCTGAATAGGATTGGTGCAAACGTGTTTGCCTGCGTTTTTTAACACTTGTGACCACCCTTGGGTTTGGAAGTTGGAAGGCTGCCCAGTGTTGCCACTCTTAAACAGCGCATATTGCGTTTTTTTAACAAGCCACAACCTTTCAATAACATTGTCGCAGTTGTACGGGGCAGATCAGGGGCGGGAGAAACACCCATAATCGCTCTGTTTGCCACCAGTGAAAATGCTAACTGTTAAACATAAACAAATAATAAGTAAAAGATGTCCGTATTTTTCGCCTGTGTCTCGATGAGCGATGGCGTCGTCACCATGCGTTGGTATATAAATATTGCGCCTTGTAATATGAGCCGCGGAAGGTGGCAGCTGCTGGATCAATACTATAATAGAGAGCTTCCTCTATAATAAGAACTCAGCTTTCCTGCCGATCAATAATCCTAATAGGTTGCGTCAGTTCCACTTACAGAATGCACAGAACAGACCTGTACACCATCCATCCAGCAGAAAAGAAAATCGCCAACAGATTGACATTCCGGGTAATATCATAATCTCTAATGTATAAACACTGAAAATCGTGAGGCGTATGTCCCGTCTGTGGCTCTGTTCAATCTCATTTGTGTTTTTGTTCCAATTCTGTGCAGTGACAGCAAAGGGACATCAACCCCTGCCGCCGTCTCCTAGACGTCACTCGTGTCCCTATTAGTGGATAGATTAAAGGGAATCTGGCCCTTTGGATAATCCCAGGACCCGATCTCCCGGAGATTAGACTCTTTTCATGCTGCCAGCCCTGTATGCAGATTTCACAAAGCTCCCTTATTACTCTCACAAATGACTAAGAGCGGCTGAGGGGGAGACCATGAATATTAGATGAAGTCTTCCAGAGAACCCTGTCTGTGCGAGGGAATAATTACTGCATGATGAGCCGGAGATAGATAGATAGATAGATAGATAGATAGATAGATAGATAATCTCACCCTAGCTTGATCTGACTGTCTGTCTCTTAATCTATCTATCTGACCCTAGATCGATCTCTCTCTCTCTATTTATCTATCTATCTCACCCCAGATCTGATCGATAGATAGATAGATAGATAGATAGATAGATAGATAGATAGATAGATAGATAGATAGATAGATAGATCGATTGATTGTTCTATCTATCTATCTATCTATCTATCTATCTATCTATCTATCTATCCTTAGATCACCTATCTCTCTATCTAGCATGAGATAGATAGATAATCTCACCCTAGCTTGATCTGTCTGTCTGTCTCTTAACCTCTCTCTCTGACCCTTGATCGATCTCTCTCTGACTCTCTATTTATCTATCTATCTCACCCCAGATCTAATCAATCGATCGATCGAGAGGTAGATAATGTTCTCCCATCTATGCCAAACAGTGTGAATGGAGGAATCTCTATCTGCCAACTATTGTATTCAGACAGCCTGTACTAGTGATGTGTGTGGGCTTGTTGCTCACCGATTTCTCTCGAGTCCACCAAAACTATAATTGTCATGCCCCCGCCCAACCATCTGCGGCTAGGACATTCCCCACAACTACAGGTAACACAGGGGCAGCAGTGCCCCGGCCACAGCTGTTTGGGCGGGATATGTCAGTGACAGGCAGCTTTGTGTGGTCACAGGTGAACTCTTGTTGCACCAAATATTATTATTATTATACAGGATTTATATAGCGCCAACAGTTTGCGCAGCGCTTTACAATATAGGGAAGACATTACAATCACAATACAAATCAAGACAAGATGGTAAGCCCCTGAGGGCTTACAATCTAAAAGGGAGGGGGAAGTGATACATGAGGAGGGAGCTGTGTGGGGATGAGTTGTTTGAGAACATGATGGTTGAGCGGTTATGTTGAGGTGGGATAGGATTCCTTGAAGAGATGAGTCTTTAGGGAATGCCTAAAGACTTCTAGAGAAGTCCTGGAGGCGAGCATGGGAGGAGTTGACAAGGGAGCTGAAAAGCAGGAGGTCTTGGGATGAGTGGAGCCGACGGTTAGGGTGATACTTTGAGACAAGGTTTGAGATATAGCCGGGGGCGGAGTTGTGGACGGCTTTGTAACTGATTGTTAATATTTTGAATTTTATCCTTTGGGCTACTGGAAGCCAGTGGATGGATTGACAGAGGGAGAAAAACAGATAGAAATGTTGATTTGCAGCAAGGTCACGTGTTCACAGAATGTATGTTGGAATGCTGTCGTCATGCGGATGGAGTATGAACGCAGATTGTAGTACACAATACTGTTGTATTGATTTTCCGGCTGGGCAGAGAAACCAAAATCACCCACAGCCTGTCCGCATTCCTAACATAGCTCAGTGCAGATCAGACAGCAAGCATGCCGACCAGCTACACACTCTGTACTGTCAGTGTACCTGTATATACCATAGAACAACAGCCAAGGAAGAATACGGGCTTATAGTAACAATACACACTGCTAAAACAGCAAAGCTGCATGTGTTTAAAGGGGAACCCCACCCAAACTGATATTTTAGTGGATGATGGAGACGTGATCATCTATCTCTCAGGGACATTATTGGAGAGATTTCCATGCTGAGTTCCCGGGTCTGCACATCTGCTGTGACCATTGTATGAGGCTCCCGGCTGGATTTCTCATTTATTTTATATTATACGTATCAGAAGGAACACACAAAGGTGGGGGGCACCCAAAACTCCTAGATGGACAGGAACAGAGTAAAGGTGGCATTTCAGGATGTGCTTGGGCTATGGGCCTGTTATAAACCGAGTTGACCGAACCCCACACAAAACTGCCAGTGACACCCCCTTCCTCCTGACCCAATCAGCTGCGGCCAGGGCATTCACCACCCCACAATTACATTTAACAAAGGGACAAGGAATGGCCCTCCTGCAACTGATTGGGCGAGGAGGGAAGTGTCATTGACAGTTTTGCGCAGACTTGGATTAATTCTTGCCTCACCAAGCCCATACATGTCCC